GGGGGGGGGGGGGAAGCAACGTTGCTTCTGCATCCCAAAAATACGCTTCGAATGCTGTCATTATTAACACTTACGACACCATTCTGTACCTTTGTTATGATGAGTCAACTTACAATAGACTCACGAACACGCATATTGATGTAGTAAAGTTTGGACGTAACCAAAAGCTCACCTTCTGTTTTTCCATTTTTCGCCGACTGTTTGTTGTTCATACTCTGAGCCCATTTTAGCAGGTTTGAATTCCTCATGGCCCTGGTGGCTTAAGTTCTGCGTGCTGCCCTATTTTCCCACTCTGAAACAAAACAAATACAAACGCATCAGTACATGGCAAGTAAGCAAAAATTTGTATTGAAAAATTGCTACTCGTGAGAGTTTCCCGAATTTCAGGGTTTCCAATTAGAAGCGTTCCGGTTCAAAGTAAATTTTTGAGTTGTGAAGATTATGTTGAAACAGACAACTTTCGGATATAAAAGCATCAAGTATATACCTAAACAACAACTTTGAGCGCATATCTTAAATATATTGATCACGTTCTTTGGTGATAATTCGACGCGGATTGTTCCGGCTCCAAAAATTTGTAATTAAGGACACTCATTTCTAGCGCATCCATAAAAGCACGTATCTCAATTGAGAAACTAACAGCACATACTTTGTTTCCAAAATGAGCCAGAATTAGTGGTTTCTTACTTCAAAATAGAGTCCACTTGGTCTCTTGTTGAAAAAAAAGAAAAAGAAAAAACTCCGAGAGACTCTCTTCTGGCTAGAGCCAGAGAAAGACGAAGGTTAAAGGGCCATTCAGCGGACACGTTTAAATCAAAAGGACCTACATCCATTGTGACATGAACCCTGAGCTCCATAAAAATACATGCATGGCAGGGCCCATGTCAGGATGGAGATGGTTCCTTTGGATTCGAATGCGTCCAATTAGCTGCACTTTATGCACCGCGGTTGTTTTCTGCAACGGTTGACACGGTCAATTTTTCAGACGCATGATCGCGAATACTGCAATTTCTTCGATTAGTTCTGGAACGGGCAGCCGAACTTAACGATTTGAATGTGGATGCGCAAGAGAAGACAGAGAGTTTCTGAAACTATTCGAACTTGTCAAAACTGCTCGAGAAACCTGATCGGACTGATGAAGAAATTGCATATAGAGGATGCATAGATGTAAAGGATTGCATTTAGATTTTAGAATAACAAATTTTAGAGCATTGTAGATTTTATCTGATTTTATTGCACCGGAAACAAATAAGTTACCAAATAAAAGTTTCGAGAATTATACGACTTGGCTGCACCTTAATTGGACTTCATTTTGCGATTATGAACTACAATTTCTGACTCATCCCCAAAAATACTTATGTTATGTGCATAGGAAAACTAATGGTATATACGTTGTTTCTAAACTGAGCACGAGATTGTAGTTCCAAATTGCAAAATGTAGTCAAATTAATCGTGACGTCATCTGCTTTTAGTGCTGGATCGGTTTGTTGATTCCTAATGTAAACATTCGCTTTATAAGAATAAACTTTCCACGGTGTGCAAGACACGTGAAATTTTATAACAAAATGAGAGAAATGCTCCGCAGAGACCTTCGCTCCTATCTCATTGTTGTTTTTTGTCCAATAATGATTCGAAAGAGGGAATTAATAATAGTGCCGATACTCTAGGGATTCCTTTACGCTCTGGCAACAGGGCCATTCATTAGAATTTTAACGACAGCATCCGTTCACGCGACAGTCACATTGACTTCACTTAGGGCAGAGTTGCCCTAATGGCGATAAAACTAAGAATTTTTGTTAAAAGGAACTCGAGCTCCATACCTAAACGAAAGCACGTAGTTTTAGCTAGTAAGTTTAACAGAAATGCGATTCAGATAGATTCAGTAGAAACGCAGGAGACAAGGCTAAAAATACACAGGATTAAACACGAAACGTTTTGGCCGACCACTCGGCCATTCGGACAAACAATCTTAGAGGAGTTCAAGTTTTTTTAAGTCTTAGCTAATGTGTCTTGGTTTTATGAGGGGAGGATTGTGAAAAATTGAAACTCTATTTTTTGACAGTTAACACTCCCTAGTATTGCAAAATCTTAAAACTTTAACCAGATTTCCGGAATGGTGAGATTTTCTTAGCTCTCAGATGAACGTCACGTTAAAATAAAATTTATAGAACCGTTTTGGATTGGAAGATAAAAGGCATGACTGTCATGATCGTCCATCAGATAAAAAAGGAACATGTACTGAAAAATAAAGATGGTAGGGTATTGGCTGTACGTATACTTATTTAAAAGCCAGAATATCAAGAGGTCACATATTTTTGCAGTTAAAAGACTTTAAACTAGAAATTCACGATCACTAGTTTCTTCAACAATCGAAGGGTTTCGGAATCGAGCATTATTGGCACTTATTTTTCTGGAATGATAATCATTTTTAACTTGTCATTACCATCCATTCTGATTGAACCAAGTTTTCATCTGAATTGATAACAATCTGTGCAAATCCTTAGAATATAGAACTTGGAATGTGTGGCCTTAAGAAGATAGCTGAATTTCCATTACAAAACTTTACCTACATCGATTCATTTTTGTCTTATAATAATGAGTGAGGATATACGGAATATTACGGACGGAGCGAGAATTTAGGTACCCACAAAACATTTGAGAGTGTTGTACCTACACTAGTAGCAGCAATGCATGCAAACTCCTGATTACGAACGAAACTTCAATGTTCCATTAACTCAATCAAATGCACCGCGCGCATTTACGTTGAGCGCGCTGCGTAATGTGTGCTACGATAAAAATATTTATGACTCATAAGCGAGACGAATGGGTTGTTTTGTGGTTTATAAACTGCGATTTCTTTATGATAACGTGATTGCGGATGTCGGCCTGTCGGTAGATGAACCCTCGGGCACGATTGTTTCAAACTGACATCATCCGTCGAAAATATCACTGATTAGTGATGAATAATGGGAATATTTTTGTCCACTTTGATCGTTTGTAAGACTGTAAGAGGCGAGCAGTCGCTGAGATTTTCAGGTGCTGTTGTAGAGAGCATAAGCAGTATTTCAGTGTCAATCTTCTGAGGATAAAACATGCAAATGAAGCCATCTCTGAAATGTATTCATTTCCCTCCGAGCTGTAATTGTGCGAGGCCGTTACTAAAATACATAACGATAAAAATCGTATTTTTTACGTGGATTTGAGGGCTTAAAAAAAATGTATGTGACCCCCCCCCCCTAACGATCCTTATTAATTAAGGTGTACTATTTGGTTTAAATAGTTCTAGGCGGAGTAGCATGGAAACGTTTGAATGGCAGTATAGTCTCTATATTTTACAAATATCTCTGGATGAAAAATTTTCTGATTTTCGTTGAAAAAATCAGCGATGACGCCTGCTCTGGGCCGAAGTGGCCGAGGCGTGATGCACAGTGATCAGTTCCAGTTTGGCTTTAAAGCACGAACAGCGTCAATTCCGCGATCTATCCGATTGATAAAAGACGAACCACATTCGATGGCCGTGGTTGTCCGGCAGACTTCATTATTGGGCGAAGAGTTGCAAAATTTCAATTCCAAGATACCACGACGCAATTTTGGGAACCCACATTTAAACCGCCTGTCCTACGCACGAACTAGAGGCTTCAAAGAGGCTCATCGATGGAATTGTTGACTGCTGCCTTTCAGAGATCGTTGGCCCAACGATCCTTCAACGAGACCGATGTGTTCGGGACAAATCATAGATTGGATCTTGGGATTTTCAAGGAATTTCGTGTAGAAATGGCTAAGGAATTAAAAAATTAAGGCCAGTTTGAGATCCCCGGTTTGTGCATGACAGTGGTGAAGCGTGAATGATTGATTTATCGATATTTTCCCATTGAAGCTGTGTGAAAGAATCGATTATTAAGGTGTTCGTTGCAAACATCCTGTTTATCGATCCTTTACCATAGGATTAAACGGCAGATCAATCGATATATCGCAAAGCACGCCGCGCCACTAGTGTGAGGAAAGAGCGCTGAACTCTAGTCAAACGCATCGCGGGCCCTGAAGAAAGGTTTTGGGGTACTGGGGAAGTTCCCATTGGTCCACCGCACCCCCGCAAACATTTACATAAAACCAGAGATGTTGGTAATTTCATTTTGCTGTCTTCAGGAAACCTGAACTACGTGTGGGATTTGGAATTCTAGAGGTTATCGCTGTTCCTCCCTCAAAATATGACAATAGTATGTGTGAGGTCCGAACATGAAGTTGGCCTGTGAACAGAATCTGTGACCTGTTTGTTCCAACATTTTAAACTGATTAACTCGCTGATGCAAACACTGGAAAAAAAACACATTGGATCTAGAGTCCAGACTCTTAAAAACATCGACAGGAAAAAATACTCATGATTCAATTAGATTTAAGCTTAATTCAAGAACCAAGCCTCTTAATTTGAGCGGATTTTCTTTGATTTAAGCTTAAATCTGATTGAATCATGAGTCCATTTTCTTGTCAATGTTTTCAAGAGTCTGGACTCTAGATCCAATGTGTTTTTTTTCCAGTGAAGAGCGATCAGAGCATGAGATGAGCTCCGCTTCGAGACTGTAAGTTTCTTCTGATTTCAGTTTAAACCGTCATAATTTTGAAGACCAGACCAAAATAGTCAGTTTTGCGCGAGGATAAGTTCGTAATGGTGAATATTTCGTCCTGAATCTTTCACCAGTCCAAAAATGCCTCAAATCGTGTTTACAAAAGGGATACAATTTTCCCGAACCTCACCTTCCACCCCTTTCAATTGGAAAGGATAAACTAGTTGAAACTAAACGAGATTCTCCTTCCCTGGAGGCGAAGATGTTCTAGGGAGCTTGGATTTTTGGGAGCGCAGGCCCAAAAATTAACCCTGAGTAAGAGGTATATTTTCTGTTCCCTCTCCACCAACCCTCGCTTCCAACTTGAGTTGGAAACCTAATTGACTGGTTTAAAGCACGAGACGGCAACGGGAACGTGTTTATCAATATTCCGGCGTAATTAAATACCGCCGGGAGGACGGAGTTATCAAAAAAACCAGACGCCTGCCTGGTTTCAAGTTCAGCGCGTCAAACACGACGTCGTCGCATTGCGTCGCGCGGCGGGCCATCTGCAAACTGCATCTGCGATTTGCATATACGACGTCATCATACTTAATTACCTATTAATCTGGGAAAACGCTGTTTGTTCTGGCACCGATCGCCAACAGGCCGGCCCCCGACATCTGGGGGCCTTCCCGATTTCGCAAGCGGAACGTTAAAATCAGCGTCCTCGCGGAGAAATGTTAGCAGA